GAGAGAGCAGTTCTGCGCACAGGCCCAGGGAAGGGCTATGGGACACAGCAAGCAGGCACCACCTGCAAGCCGGGAGGGGCCCACGCCAGACAGAGTCTCTGGAATCTCCCAGCACCTGGACGTCTTGGCCTCAGACCCTGGGTGTTGCTGTGTTGGCACTCCTGGGATGTGCCACCGTGCACTTACCAGTCCTGTGGTGGCACTTGGTGGGGGTTTCTTGGGTTTGGTTTGTGTGACTAAAGAGGTTATGGTAAGTCTTGTACACATTTTCTGTGGGTGTGTTTTCCTTTCTCTTGGGAAAATCCCTGCGAGTGACCCTGCCTAATGGGCCTACTGAGCAGAGCAGTGTTTTCATGGTGGCTTTAATTTGCATTTCCTAGAGCTTAGTGATGCTGAGCACTTTTCCACCTGTCACCATTCATACCTCTTTTCTGAAATGTCCAATCAAGTCTTTTGTCCTTTTAAAAATTATCAAGTTGTAAAAGCCCTTTTTATCTTCTGGATACATGGCTTGTCAGATACATATTGCAAATATTATCTCCCATTCTTTGACTTGCTTATTCATTTTATTAATGGTATATTTTAGAAATTCACTTAAAAATTTTTGCAGTAGTTTTAGATTTACAGAAAAGTGTTAAAGATAGCCAGTTTTCCCTAATACCGACATTTAGGTCACCACGGTGCATTTGTGGAGACTGAGAAACAGCAGTGCTATGTTCCTATTGTCTACACCGCAGACGTGAGATTTCACTCGGTTTCCCAACATCCCTGTCCAGGTCCCACACCGCATTGAGTGTGACAGCTCCTTTGTTCCCTCTAGGATGGGCTGGTGTCTCAGACCCTCTTACTTTTTCATGACCCTGACAGTTTAGAGGAGGACTGCAGAGGTGTTGTGTCGAATGTCCCTCATTTTGGGTTTGTCTGCTGTGTTTTCTGGTGCTTAGAGTGGTGTCGTGGGTTTGGGAGAGAACACCCCAGCGGTGGTGAGGTGGCCCTCTCATCACATGCTGTCGGGGGCGCTGGCGTCTGTAGGACAGCACGGGGCCCGTTGGCCTGGCCACCTGGTCCAGGTGGTGCGTGCCAGGTGTTTCCTCTCTCCCTCCTGTCTTCTCTGGTGGCCACTCAGCGAGGCAGTCGCCCTGCAGGGGGTGGGAATGAGCCGGGCCTCCCGTGTGTGGGGGTGGCAGGGGAGATCCACCGTATCATTTGGAATTCCGTAAGGAGGCTTTCTCTGTCCCCCATGTGTGGATTTATCGGTCATTTCCTTCCGTCAGCTGGGGCTCCTGGATGTTTGTCGTGTACTTTGGGTGCGATCCAGCCCTGCGTGGTTTTGCTCTTTCATTTGTGTGTTTTGGGGGCACTTCCTTTCTTGTTGGCGCTTCCAGATGCTCCAGGCTCATCTTGTGTGCCTGCCTCAACCCTGAAATCAGCCATTTGTCCAAGGAGCCCTGGTTTCTTTCATTGGAGGATGGTGTTTAGAAGCTGGGATCTGGGCACTGGTGTCCGGGCCTGAGGTCCCCCGGTGGGCGGGGCTAGATGACGTGTGGGTCTGTTACCTGTATGTGTGTATCTGTAACCTGTAATCTGTAACATGCTTATTTGTAACCTTCCTGTCAGAACCTGGTTCCCACCATCCACTATCCATTTTCTTTCTTTTTTTCTTTCCTTTCCTTTTTTTTAACTGAGGGAGAGAGTGGTGGGGGGTAGGAGGCAGAGGGAGGGAGAGAATCCCAAGCAGACTCTACACCCCACATGGGGTTTGATTCCAGAACTCTGAGATCACGACCTGAAATCAAGGGTTGGATGCTTAACCAACTGCAGCACCGAGGCGCCCCCCCACTATCCATTTTCATATCTGTCCAGCCCAGCCCCAGTTTGCACATAAAGCAGTTTCAGAATTGTTCACCCACATTTCACTCCCACAAGAAACAAATTTACCAACTAGAGTACAGTGTTTATGTGTAGATCTTTTTATCTTTAGCCTTCCAGTCGAACATCATTTTCCAGAGGTGCTGAGGTCAGCTCCTTCCTTCCCATCCCCTTCAGTGTGTTGATGTCATACACTTCTGACACAGTTAAAATCAGTGGTCACAGTCTGTGTTTCGTCTTGAGATCCCTGACATTCTGTTTAATTTTTTTTTTGCATACATTAAACTTTATTCTCTGTGATATATGCTTCTATGGGTTTTGAAAAATGCATAGTCTTGTATCCACCATAATGGTATATTTTGATGAGACATTTTTGATATTGATAAAGTTTAATTTATGAATTGGTTTTCTTTTTCAGTTCATGCTTTCAGTGTCCTTTCTAAAAGTCTTTGCCTAAGCAAGTCACCAAGATATTCTCCTGTATTTTCTTCCAGAAGCTTTATAGATTTCGTTTTTGCATTTAGCTTCATGATCCATCTCTAATTTTTTCATATGATCTGAGTCTAGTTTTTATTCCATGTGAGTAGCCAGTTGTCTGGCACCATTTGTTGAAAAACTGTTTTTCTCCATTGAATTGCTTTGGCATCTTGTCAAAAATCATCGGTGTTATTTCTGGATTCTCTGTTTTGTTACATCGATCTGTTTATACTTTCATCAATCCAACTGTCTTGTGACTCTAAGTCTTCAAGTAAGGTCATGTAAATCCTCCATCTTCTTTTTAAAAACTGCTTTGGCTCTCCTAGGTTCTAAGCATTTTCTTGTAAATTTTAGAATCAGCTTGTGAAAAAAAAAGAATCAGGTTGTGAATTTCTCAAAAGGCTTCTGTAATTTTGACTGGTATTGTGTTAAGTATAAGATCATGTAGGGACAATTTACATCTTAATAATACTGAATTCTCTAGTCTACTGACATGGGTTAATGGATATTTCCATTACATATAGAATGGTGTATATAATATATGCCATTATGGTATGTCTTTCCCTTATTTAGATCTTGAATTTCAGCAGTGTTTTATAGTTTTCAGTATACAGATCTTACTTTTTTTTTTTTTTTAAAGCAGAGGGGAAAGGGGAGGGGCAGAGGGGGAGGGAGAAGCAGACTCCCTGCTGAGCAGGGAGCCCAGTGTAGGACTCACGAGACTCGACCCCAGGACCCTGAGATCACGACCTGAGCCGAAGGCAAACGCTTAACTGACAGCCACCAGGCGCCCCAGGTCTTACATATTTTAAAATAAATTTATCCCCAGGAACTAGCAAATTATGTTTTTGAATGCCACTGTAAATATTTAAGTTTCATTTTCCAATTAGTTGTTATAATTAGTAGAAATAACAATTGATTTGTATATTGACTTTATGTTCTTGGACCATTGCTAAATTCACTCATAAATTATACTAGTTTTTTTTCTGTAGGTTTCTTAGGATTCTCCATGTAAATAATCATGCCATCTGCACAGAGACAGTTTCTTGGTTTTCTCTCCATATTGCATTGGCTAGCACCTGTAGGACAACATTGAATAGAAATGCTAAGATTGGATATCCTCGATTTCTTCAATCTTTAGGGGGAAATGTTCTATACTTCATTGTTAGTATGATGTTAGCCACAGGTTTTTTATAGATGTCTTTTATCAGGTTTGCTGTATTTCCTTCTATTTTTAGTTTGCTGAGAGTTTTTAACATTAACTTTCTTCAGAGGAATATAATCAAATCTAGAGTCTCCACAACATAACATTTGCAGTTTATAGGATACAATCCAAAATTACCGAACACATGAAGAACCACAGTAATACGAGCCATTCTCAAGGGAAAAGACAATCAATAGATGCTAATTATATTATGACCTAGGTGCTGGATGATCAAACAAACACTTTTTTTTTTTCAAATTTTTATTTACATTCTAGTTAGTTAACATACAGTGCAATATTGGTTTCAGGAGTAGAATTTGGTGGCTCATCACCAAATACAACACCCAGTGCTCATCATAACAAGTGCCCTCCTTAATACCCATCACCCATCTAGCCCATTCCCCACCTACCTCCCTTCATCAACCCTCAGTTTGTTCTCTCTCGTTAAGAGTCTCTTATGGTTTGTTTCCCTCTCTTTTTTCCCCTCTCCCATATGTTTCTATGTTTTGTTTCTTAAATTCCACATGAGTGAAGTCATATGGTATTTGTCTTTCCTCTGACTTATTTTGCTTAGCATAATACATTCTAGCTCCATCCATGTCATTGCGAATGGCAAAATTTCATTCTTTTTGATGGCTGAGTAATATCCTATTGTATATATATACCACATCTTCTTTATCCATTCATCAGCTGATGGATGTTTGGGCTCTTTTCATAGTTTGTCTATTGTTGATAATACTGCTATAAATATCAGAGTGCATGTATCCCTTTGAATCTGTATTTTTGTATGCTTTGGGTAAATAGTCATGCAATTTCTAGATCATAGGGCAATTCTATTTTTAACTTTTTTTTAAAAGATTTTATTTATTTGACAGAGACACAGCAAGAGAGGGAACACAAGCAGGGGGAGTGGGAGAGTGAGAAGTGGGCTTCCCACAAAGCAGGGAGCCCGATGCAGGGCTCGATCCCAGGACCCTGGGATCATGACCTGAGCAAAGGCAGACGCTTAACGACTGAGCCACCCAGGCGCCCCCTATTTTTAACTTTTTTAAAAAAGATTTATTTATTTATTCAAGGGGGAGAGGGGCAGAGGGAGAGAGAGAATCTCAAGCAGACCCCTCTGAGCATGAAGCCCAACATGGGGCTCGATCTCATGACCCATGAGATCATGACCTGAGCCAAAACCACAAGTCGGATGCTTAACCAACTGAGCCACCCAGGCCTCCCTCTATTTTTAACTTTTTGAGGAACCTCCATGCTATTTTCCACAGTGATTGCACCAGTTTGCATTCCTACCAAAGTGCAAGAGTGTCCCCCTTTCTCCACATCCTTGCCAATATCTGTCATTTCCTGACTTGTTAATTTTAGCCATTCTGACAGGTGTGAGGTGGTATTCATTGTGGGTTTTTTTTTTTTAAGATTTTATTTATTTATTTGAGAGAGAGAATGAGATAGAGAGAGCATGAGAAGGGGGAGGGTCAGAGGGAGAAGCAAACTCCCTCCTGAGCAGGGAGCCTGATGCGGGACTCGATCCCGGGACTCCAGGATCATGACCTGGTTAAGGCAGTCGCTTAACCAACTGAGCCACCCAGGCGCCCCTCATTGTGGTTTTGATTTGTATTTCCCTGATGATGAATGATGTTGAGCATCTTTTCATGTGTCTGTTAGCCATCTGGGTGTCTTCTTTGGAAAAATGTCTATTCATGTCTTCTGCCCATTTCTTAACTGGATTCTTTGTTTTTGGGGTGTTGAGTTTGATAAGTTCTTTATAGATTTTGGTCAAACACTTTAAAAACAGTCTTAATAACTATATTCAGTGAGGTAAAGGAAAATACACTCATCATGAACAAAAATATAGGAAATCTCTGTAAGGAAATAATATATACACACACACACACATACATACATACATACATACATACATACACATGCATACACACACACATACTTTTAATGAGCCAAATGGAAATTTGAGAACTGAAAAACATGGCATCTGAAATGAGAACTTTACTGAATGGTCATAGTAGAATGGGAGTGACAGGAAATAATTGGTGATATCAAAGATTAATAGAAATCATCTAGTTTAGGGGTGCCTGGGTGGCTCAGTCGTTAAGCGTCTGCCTTCGGCTCAGGTCATGATCCCAGGGTCCTGGGATCGAGCCCCACATCAGGCTCCCTGCGCTGCGGGAAGCCTGCTTCTCCCTCTCCCACTCCCCCTGCTTGTGTTCTTTCTCTCGCTATCTCTCTCTGTCAAATAAATAAATCTTAAAAAAAAAAAAAAGAAATCATCTAGTTTAAAGGAAAAAGGGGGATTGATTGGGGTAAATGTCTAGCACATGGGTAATTATAGACTCCAGAAGGAGAGGAGAGATACATAGTGGGGCAGAAGAAATACATGAAGAAATAATGACTAAAACCTTTCCAAATTTGGTGAAAGACATATAGGATAAATATGAATAAAGTCACACTTAGACACATCATTTTAAAATTACTGAAAACTCAAGATTAACTGTGAAAATCTTGAAAACAGAGAAAAGCAACAGATCACATACAGTATAGCATTGTAAAGACTGTGAATCGGGGACCATGGAGGTGAGAGGCAAGTGGGACTGCACCCTAAAATACTAAAAGAATCTTATACCCTCTAAGAGTGAATGCTAAATAAAAGTGTTTTCAGAGAAAGGGAAACTGATAAAATTTGTTGCTATCAAGTGCGCACTGTTAAAAATGCTAAAGAAGTTTTTGTAGACTGCAGGTAAGTACCAAAGTGAAATTCAGATCTTATGAATGAATGATGATCATCAAGAACAGTAAGTATCTGGGAGAGATGTTTTCTTTCAAGTGCATATGTTTTAAAACATTAAAACATTTCTTGTGTATGTAATGTATGCAGATGTAATAGGTATGACAGTTGCAGCACGAAGAATAGTAAAGGATACATGAAACTATAGAGTTTCAAGGCTTCTACATTTTAGAAGAAGCAGTGCCATATTCTAAGTAGGCTGTGAAAAAGAGAGGGTGTATATTACAATCTCTAGAGCAACAGTTATAAAAATATGCAAAGAAGTATAACCAAAGAACCGAACGATAAATTGAAAGGGAATTTTTAAAATACTCAAATAATATAAAAGAAAGCAGGAAAGAGAGAACAGAGGGCCAAAATACCAGAGAGACCAAAAGAAAACAATAGTAGCCCCAAAGCCACCCATAGTGCCCTTGGACATTTGCCAAAGCCCACATATACACCATCAAGAGTGACCATAGTGTAAACACGGACTTTGGGTGACAGTGCTGTGTCGGTGTAGGTTCACTGATGGTAACAAATGTACAGGATGTGGTAGTGGGGGAGGCTCTGCTTGTGTGGTGGTGGGGGAGTATGGGAACTCTTCCTTCCTGCTCAGTTTTGCTGTGAAACTGCTCTAAAAATATTTTGTATATTATAGGCACCCGGGTGGCTCAGTCGGTTGAGCGTCCGACTTGGTTTCAACTCAGGTCATGATCTCAGGGTCCTGGGATCAAGCCCTGGGTTGGGCTCTGTGCTCAGTGGGGAGTCTGCTTGAAGATCCTCTCCCTCGCCCTCTGCCCCTCCCCCTGCACTTGCTTGCTCACTCTCTTTCAAGTAAATAAATAAATCTTTAAAAAATATAAAAATATTTTATATATTAAGACAAAACAAAACAGAGGGACAAGTAGAAAACAAGTAATAAAATGGTAGACCTAAGTCTAACCATAGTGATAATTACATAAATGTTAATGGACCAAACTCTCCAATTAAAAGACAGAGATTGGGTGCCTGGGTGGCTCAGTTGGTTAAGTGACTGCCTTCGGCTCAGGTCATGATCCTGGAGTCCCGGGATCGAGTCCCGCATCGGGCTCCCTGCTCAGCAGGGAGTCTGCTTCTCCCTCTGACCCTCCTCCCTCTCATGCTCTCTGTCTCTCATTCTCTGTCTCGCAAATAAATAAAATCTAAAAAAAATAAAATAAAAATAAAAAATAAAAGACAGAGATTGTCACAATGAATAAATAAGCAAGACCTGCATACTGTATATAGGAGATTCACTTTAAATATAAAGAACACAGGTTGAAAATAAGATATATAGATGCAAAATATATCTGTAGATCTAAGATCTATCCATCTATCTATCTTGCAAACAGTGAACATAAGAAGATTGGAGTAGCTGTATTTATATCAGATAAAATAGATTTCAGGAGGTTGAGTATTACCAACGATAAAGGGGAAATGTCTAATGATAAAAGGGTCATTTCATCAAGAAGACTTATCAATTATAAATGTGTCTAATAACAGAGCCTCAAAATAAATGAAGCAAAATTGACAGAACTAGAGACATAATTAGGCAGTTCCACAATTATAATAAGTGATTTTAACATCTCTTTCTCTCACCAAATATTAGAACAAAAACCCAAAAGAAATTAGTAAAGACATAGCGGATCTGAACACTACTCTCAGGCATCCTGACCTAATTGCTATTTGTAGAAAGCTACACCCATCAAAAGCAGAGTACAAATTCCTACTAAGTGCACATTGTACATTCTCTAACATAGACCAAGTGTGTGCCCTAAAACAAGTTTCAAAAAAACTAGGGGTGCCTGGGTGGCTCAGTTGTTAAGCGTCTGCCTTCGGCTCAGGTCATGATCCCAGGGTCCTGGGATCGAGCCCTGCATCGGGCTCCCTGCTCAGCGGGAAGCCTGCTTCTCCCTCTCCCACTCCCCCTGCTTGTGTTCCCTCTCTCGCTGTGACTCTCTCTCTCAAATAAATAAATAAAATCTAAAAAAACAAACAAAAAAACTAAAGAAGTAAAGCTGAGTTTTTTTTGCAGATGACATGATTATTTATGTAGAATATCCTAAGAAATCTACAAAAAGTGCTAGAACTATCACGTGAATTTCATAAAATTTCAGAAACTAAGGCTAATAGATAAATTTTAATTGTATTTTTACGTACTGGCAGCAAACTATTGGAAAATGAAATTAGAAATTCAATTCTATTTACAATAATACCCAAAAAATAAAATATATAGTAATAAGTTTAACAAACTTATTTGTTAAGTAGTCTGAGCTCGTGTATAGGACTGACTTGTCCAGAACCCCTTTCTGCTCAGGACCACCTCTTCACTGCAAACTTCAAAAGAGAGCTGAAAAGAAAACTTGAAGAAATGGGGAGTGATAGCACATTCATAGATTGGAAGACTCAATATTGTTAAAATGTTGATTATCCCAGCCAAAATTCCAGCAGGCTTTTTTTTTTTTTTTAAGATTTTATTTATTTATTTGACAGAGAGATAGAGCACAAGCAGGCAGAGCGGCAGGGAGAGGGAGAAGCAGGCTCCCCGCTGAGCAGGGAGCCTAATGCGGGGCTCGATCCCAGGACCCTGGGATCATGAACTGAGCCGAAGACAGACGCTCAACTGACCAAGCCACCCAGGCGCCCCAGCCCAGCAGGCTTTTTTGTAGAAACTGGCAAAGTGGTTCTAAAATATGGAAATGCACATAACCTAGACTTGACAGCAATTAAACAAAGCAAAGCTTATCTACCTAGTTTTCAAGATTTCAGTAAAGCTTTAATAATTGAGACTGTGGTGTTCGTGAAGGATAGACACGTAGGTGAGTGGAGCAGAACGGAAAGTCTAGAAATAGACCCACACACCTACACTCAGTTGATTTTCAACAAAGATGTCATGATAACGTGAAAAGGAAAGTCTTAACAGTGCTGCAACTCCTGGACATGCATATGGAAAAAATAAACTTTGATCTTTACTTCATACCATACACAAAAGTAACTCAAAGTGTAAAAGCTAAAACTCTAAAACTTCTAGAATGAAACATAGGAATGACCATGAGGTCACGGCAGAGATTAACCCTAGGACACAAAAAAGCAAGAATCATAAAAGAGAAAATGGATGGGTTTGATTTTATCAAGTGAAAACATTTACTCTTCTGGATACCCATGTGAAAATGAAAAGGCAAGCCACAGATGGGAGAAAATTTTTGCAAAATATTTATATCTGAAAAATGCATATATCTGACGAAAAACGTGAAGAACTATTACAACTCAATAATAGAAAGCCAATTAAACAAAATGGGCAAATGATTGAAGAAGACATATAAACACATGAGAGCTAAGAGCCATCATTAATCATCAGGGAAATGCAAATTAAAGCAACAGTGAGCTACCACCGCCCACCCGCAGACACCATGCCAAGTGCTGGTGGGAGCGTGCATGGGATCTCCAGCATGGGAGACAGATCGGCAGGTTAGAAAGGTAAATACACACTTACCTTGACCCAGTCGTTCCAGTCCTAAGGATCTACCCAAGAGAAATTAAACGTCCACACAAAGACACGTAAAAAAACGTCCACAGCAGGTTTATTTATAGCCATTAAAATCCAGAAACAATCCAGGCGTCCATCAGCACCAATTTTATGTAAATGAGCCATACAGTATATACACTTTTGTGCCTGGCTCCTTCCACTTGAACTAATGATCCTTAGATTCATCTGCACTTCATTCCTTTTATGGCTGAATGATAATTCCATGGTGAGGGTGTACAACGTTGCTTTTACCCACCCACCTGCTGATGTCAAAATATTTAGCCAGCTACATTTCAGACAGATTATAATTACGGTTACCATGTTGCATGTTAACAGAAATTTGTTTAAAACTTTAACTACTGCAGGGTTTGTGCAGGTTAGTTTTCTCTGGTCACACTGGAAATGTGACAGCTTAAGTCCTAACTCACACGGGCTGCCGAGTTTTGCATTTGCCAGTGTCAGGAAATGCACTTGCAATGTGTGGCACTGTGCTGTCTGTTGTTCCTTCTGCCTGTTACTCCATCAGAAGTCCTCTGCTCTGGCGTTGTCCTCAGTCATGGCTTTCGATGGTACTTCTATCACCCAAGATGACATTGTTCCTGCAGTTTCCATGACAAGAGCAGGGGGAATACTAGAAAATCATAAGGCTGAGGGTCCCTGACTGACCTGTGTTGGCCCCAGAGGTGTTTCACTGCCTAGGTGTTCTGTCTCTTGGTGAAAATGCTTGAATTGGGGTTTTCCTAGGACAGAGCAAGATGGCAGATGGACAAGTCCTGTCCAAGCTCATGAGTAGAACCCCCTTCTGCTTCGTCCTTTCAGGAGGCAATGAATGGCTGAAAGCTTTGGAGGAAGGAGTAGTCCATCTAGATCCAGATCCAGATCCAGATGGGTTGAGCACAGCCCCTCCAGTCCCTCAGCTCTGGGGGCTCCTTATGGTAAGTCAGTTGAGCCTACCAACAATGGGCCTCACCGACTACCTTGATTTGCAGGCCTGGGACCAGGGATCTGCGGTTTCTTAGCAGCCCCGCCCTGCCAGCTAAGCCCTGGGCCCCGCCTCTGGATGTCTGCAGCTCCCATCCCAGAGGGCCAGGTAAGGGTCCTGCACCTCAGCCCCCACCTGGTGCCCTGGAAGGAGGCACCCACATCTGCACCGTGCCCCTATCTGTTGCAGACCCTGTGTTCTGGACCATGGCACTCCAGCGTGCCGTCCTCCTGGCGGGCCTCCTGGTGGAAGTTGCCAGCAAATCCTCAGAAAGCGCGGTAGGTGTCCGGTCACACAGCGGTGTGGATGCCAGGAAGTCAAGTCAAAACCCTCTCTTCCCAGCCCCTCATGGAGGCAGTGGGCCCTTCACCTGGCAAGCTTCGGGGGTCACCCTTGCCCTGGCCCCAGGGACAACCAACTGTGCCCGCTATTGGGGTCAGAGAAGCCCGTGCCTCACTGAGAGAAGCACATGCCCCCCACCTGGCACCTGCTCTGTTATGTCCCCTAGAGGCTTCTTTTCCTCTTTGCCAAACTGAACCTGTTACTGTAGCTGGAAAAGGGTCTCCGCAGAGCTGCCCCCACTGGCACTGAGGGGAGCCTGCGAGCTGCCCGCCCAGCTTCGGGTGGCTGGAGACTGCGTGTCCAGGCAAGCAGCAGCATTAGGCAGGGTCTGCCGCAGGCCTCCTGTGGCCAGGTGTCCTGGCTCTCCCAGGCCGCTGACATGGGTATGCTGTGCCCCGGCCATGCCCACGTGCACCCAGCCGCACATCATCCAGGCCTTCCGGAGGGTGAGGCCTTCCAGCCGCTCTGCCTCTGCCAGGGTTGGGTGGGATGGGATGGCTGGAGTGTCCCTCGTGGGCTTGACTTCAGCCACGGACTGGCCTTGGACCCCTCCTGTGGTGGCATGGAGTGTCCACGCCATTCCTTAGACACCCCTCACTGTTCACTGTGTTCTCGTCACAAGAAACAAAAGCTCAGCTGTGATAAACACACACTGAGCCAAGCTCCCACGGGAAGCCCCTCGAGTCTGGTCCTGTAAATGCCAGCACTTGGCACATCTGTTCCCCACTCAGTGCCCCCCCCGCAAATGCACACAGCAGGCGTGAGTTCCTGCCCCACAACCTGTCCTGCTCTGGGCACTTCCTCTGCAGGGGCCCTGATGGAAACCCCTGGTGGAGGGCAGCCACAGAACGCTGAGAAGAGCAACCAGGACCCGTGGGGTGACTATTTTCTGGGGCGCAAAGGGCAGACACTCCTCACCAGGGAGGCCATTGGTGTCTGGGTTTATCTTCGTATTTTATTACAGTCTAGAAAAACGTGTGTTTCCTTTTCTGGGAAGGAGTCCACATGTGGCGCTGAAGTAGGGTTTAGCACCTTTAATTGCTTAATTTTCAAAGCCACTGTCTGGCAGGTGGTGGGTAACGTCCGGGCACACGTCGTTCTCACAGCATGCCTCTGTGCCACGTGCTGGTAATCCTCACGTTTCAGACTTTTTCATGACTATCCTGTTTGTTATGGTGACCTCTGATCGGTGATTATGACCCGCTGAAAACTCAGGTGATGGTCAGCATTTTATAGCGGTAAAGTATTTTAAATTAAGGCATGTACATTGTGTTTTAGACACAATGCAATTACACACTTCAGAGACTATAGTATAAACATAACTTTTACATACGCTGGAAAACAAAAAATTCACTTGATTCACTTTATCGTGTACTGGGGCCGAATCCACAGTATCACCGAGGTATGCCTATAAATAATTTTTTGGATTGAAGTGCCCCACCCAATATCCACTAGTGTCCATGGGGCTGAGTGGCAGTAGCTCTGCCCTGAACCCAAGAGACCCACCTTTGGAAAGCACCACGGCCCCTCCCAGCTCCCAGGCGAGGCCGAGTGGTCAGGCAGGCTGGCAGGGGAGGGAAGTGGCTGCACAGACCGCCGAGCACCCACGGCCCGGCAGGTGTCCCCAGGACCACTCCCTGCCCCCCAGGCTGCGCCAGCCCAAGCCCCTGGTCAGAATCTCTGAGTGGGCCCCCAGGGATCCCCCTTCCTGGCTTTTGGGAATCTGAGTGCTTAGGAACATGCTTATGTTTATTCAGTCATCAAACACTCACTGGGCACATGAAGTTCTGTCCCAGGAAGTGTTCGTGTGGTGTGACTGTGTGTCCTCACCTCGCTCTGGGTAAGCAAGAGATGGTCACCTGATTTGGAACTTTTTTTTTTTCGATTTGGAGTTTAGAAGAGGCCAGGGCCATGGGCATTGGGTCAAGCTCGTGAGGTACCCCCTCTGCAGATGCCATTCTCAGCCTGGCCTACTTGTCCTGCCCGAGCCCCAGCTGTGGGGTCTGCAAACTCACCACCCTCTCCCCTCTAGGGCCAGCAGCCTGAATGTTGTGTGGACGTGGTGGATGTCAACACCACCTGCAGGGGCACAAGCCTGTGTGGTCCAGGTAAGCTGCTTTGGCACCAGCCAACCTTGACCAGCCTTGGTGATGAGGACAGTGCTCTTGCGAACCCTGTGGGGGTCACCATAGCTGGTGTGAGCAGGCGGGCACACAGGCCCCTTGGGAAGGACGCTGGAGGTGCCTGGGAGGTAGGCGAGGGGCCGGAAGAATGGGCAGAAGCAGCAGGAAGTGACAGGACCCCATCTGAGCCTCCCTCCTGGCTGGCAGCCTGGCCGCCTCTTCTTGGGTGGAGGTGGGTAAGTCCGCCTGGCCCTCGGTCTCTGGCAACGAGTGTGTTTCTTTCCTCCTGCTGTGTGGGCGACCTCCATGTGGGGCCTTTGTCTCCTGCTTCTTAGGGAGAAAAAGGGAGGTCCGGGCCCTTCTTGCTCCTACTGTTTTTTTTGTTTTGTTTTGTTTTTGCTCCTACTGTTTTTTAAGAGTCTTTAGCTGGAAATATTTTTTGTGTGAAGAGGCATATTCTGGTTTCCCTCCGTCCCCCACTTGAAACTTTACCCTCAGAAAGTTTCACATATTAAAAGCCAAGCTGCAAAGAGAATTGGGTTGGAAGTTGTGAGTTAAGAGACCGGCAAAGGGGGAGAAAAGGCGTAGGTGGAACCAGAGGAAAAGAACGGGTCTGAGCACGCTGTCCCGCGCCTCACCGGAGGGGCCTCTAGTCCTGGCGGGGGTCTGTCCGGTGAAGCTGACGTGCAGATGTCAGGAGCTGGTGTGGCAGGTGGGCCTCCCCCAGAGTGAAGCCTCCGTGGTGCGAGCAATCAGGTATTTAGTAAGAGGCATTTCTATGGAAACAAAAGAAAAACAAATGTCAATGGTTGCAGCAAACTGTAAGTCTAGTTTCTCAATCTAGAGGGCAGTCAGCTAAGTACCCTTCTGGATGTTGGACTCAGCGCCCACTAGGTGGAGTCAGGATGGCAGAGGCGCTGTCTGACAAATTCCGGGCTTGTGCTGCGAATGTCCCTGCTGAGGCCGTGGGGCTGCTTGTGAACTTTCTGAGAGGCCCACCCGGGAACAGGCATGAGGCGTTGAGGTGATTTCTCCGAAGTCCATACCCACACATCCAGCCTCCGCTTGCAGGGCTTTGGGGAAAGGGCAGTTTTAGTTCTTAGTGATTCCAAGTCAGGAGGGTGGGAGGGAGGAAAGTGGAAATGTTAGTTTGGAGAGTTGTAGCCAAATATTGGAAGAGACTGGAAGGTTTCAGGGGCCGGTGCAGCTTACAGGTAGGTGACAAAACCTCAGACATGAACAGGAGTGGAGTCTGATACCCACACACACGTGTTACAGACACCATCACCCCCACTTCTACCAAAGATAATCACAGCGAGACGCGAATTGGCTTTTAAAATAAGTCTAGCCTCGCTAAACGTGGCCTGATCATCTACATAGTGCAGCAAGAATAGTGATTGACCATTCAGACTCTTTTTAAGTCTGCCTTGCTGGACCTTTCCACAAGGAATCTTAGATTGGACTCCTGAGGCCGGGAAGCCAAGCCGAAGACTCGCCATCAGCCCTAACCTTCAATACGTATAGATTTTGGTGAATTCCTGTCTTCTCGAGGTCCAAATATCCTCAGTTTCCTGGACTTCCCCGTAAGTGACCTTCCTTGCTCACCTGTGAGGCTGGGAAGCCAGCAAGCCAGGTGTCAGGTGGTTTTTCAAAGGGGCTTCATAAAGTCAACCTTAGCTCCTTAGTGTTTCTGGTCACTGGCCCTGGCTCTCTAGCTGTCCCTTGTCCCTGCACACAACAGCCCAGCCTGGGGCCTCCCAGTTACCTTGGAGCCAGCCAGAGGGGAGCTGTTCGGGAGAGCCGTTGGGCACGGGCGCCAGGTGCGTGCCAGGCCCCCCGCTCCCAGGCCCCCTGGTGTGGTGCTGGGCCTGTCTGCCCACAGCATCATGGGCACGGCTGCTGGTCAGTCTTCGCACCCTGCCGTCCACTTGGTGTCCCTGCAGAAAGGCCTTCACCTCACACTGACATTGTGTGTGGATTAAACATCAGTACAGTTCATCATGAAGGACGTGTCCCTGGACACTGCCCCAGGGGCCAGCGCTAGCATTTAGGGCCGGCTCAGTACCTGCACTCAGTATCGATCGAGCACGTGTTTGCTCAGCCGCTGTGCTATATGTTGGGGATGTGAAGAAGCAATAACGGTATAGCGCACAATTCCTGCCCTTAAGGGGTGCCCTGGCTAGTTGGCAAAACGGACTGTCTGCACACCACTGGCCAGTGGGAGCTGGGCTGCTCCCAGCACCGGGGGAGCTTGGGGTTTGGGCAGTGGCGTCAGTCTGGGACCTCCCCAGGGAAGGGGGCGGCAGAAGGCAAGGGTCACACCTGGGCTGGAGACAGTGCCCCTGAAGGGGGTGGCCGTGCCCTGTGGCACCTGTGGGGGCAGGGTGAGGGTCCGGTGGTCAGGCTGCTGGGGTCCTCCCCGGAGCATGGGGCCGCACACGGCACCTGCCTGCCTCGGGTTCCCGGCCTCTCCGAGTGTTCTGCAAGACGCCCCGGAAAGGAGCCCACGGAGCCCCTGGGTGAGAGCTCGCTGCGGCTCCCACCGCGTTTGTGTCTTTTTCTGAAATCAAACCTGACGTTCGGTCCAGACTTCCAGAACGGGCTAGTTAGCATTCTTGAACGAGTTCTCAAGTTCACAAACTCAGGATATGGAAAGCCCCCCCGAAGGCAGAGCTGAGTCACTGTCTCCCGCACAGGCTGCTACAGGCACCGGAACGAGAACGGGAGTGTCAGCTGCGTCCGCTGCAGGAACGGCACCTTCAGCTCCCAGTGCCGCGGCCGTCCCACGACCACGCCCGCCAGGCCCACCTGGCCCGCTTCGCACCGAGGGGCCACGTCTCCAAGTTCTGGAGGAACGGGTGGGAGTTGCCCTTCTTGTCCCCACAGCAGCGGGCGGCCCACGGTTCCCTGGACCACCGTCCGTTGAGGGGACACCCCCCCCCACGCCCGGTCCCCTCTCTCCCTGAGTCCTCGTGCGGACTGTGGGCTGAGGGCGGCTCTGTCTCCAGGCCTCCTCCCTTTCTGGTTTCTGGCCCGTGATTCCCCACTGGGCGGCGTCTCTGGCTCCCTGGGAGTCTCCGGCAGCGTCCCCGCGCGTGGTCCAGACGTGCCCGGGGAGCCGGCCGCGCTGACGGCTCTGCTTCCCCACAGTCGCTGGCTGGGGCGCACAGTTCCCGCTGAACAGGAGCACAGGAATGCCCGGGCAGCCAAATCTCGGTAAGTCTCTGGCTCACCAGTTGGGAGCAGGGCCTCTGCCCAGGTCCTGGTGGAGGAGGGGGCCATCATCTGCCATTCCCAGTGCACATGACCACTTACGCTGGCCTCAGTAGGGCCACAGCCACGGCCAAGGTCACACTGCACCCCAGGCAAGAGATGTATGGACAGGGACCCAGCCTGACCACAGAGCAGGGCTGGTGGAGTTGGCGGCCCCCGGGCCGGGGGTCACTGGGCACAGGCAGGAGGCCCTCACACATGCTCCTGAGCAGTTCCAGTGAGTGGAAACCCTCCCAGCTGCACACCTCACCCCTTGCCTCAGTCCTGGCCCACCAGCACCTCGGTGCACGGGGACTCGGGGCCTGCGGTTGTCTGGAGATGGGAGGGCGCCGTGAGGCCCCCTGGCCCCCATCCCCTGAGGCTCTTCTGAGGATATAGGGCTCAGACTGCAAACACTGCTTGCCAGGCAGAAGAACCCACCACACCGCCTGGTCCTCATGGGGCAGACACAGGGCCCACCTCCTGTAGACTGTCCTCAGCTTGCATCCCATCCTATCTGAGATGTGGTCCGCCAGCCACGGAGGCTTAGCTCCGCCACAGGGGCCACTGCAGTCAGGGAGCAGGACCTACCCCAGGAATGGTCACCTCCTGTCAGGTGACCAGGTTGTGATGGGGGTTGTGTGTCCCCCAGACGCTGGGCCTTCAGCAGAGGGCGTGTTGGACCTGGACTGAGGGCTCCTGCTTTCTGCACAAGTTTCAGGACCAGAAGCACATGGCCTTGCGCTGACCTGGGCCCCCAAGGCCGGCCACCAGAGCAGCAGAGTTTTAGGGTGGGGTCAGTGCAGACGGCCCCGACCTCCTGTGACACCGTGCTGGGTCTGGCAGTGGGGGTATCGGTGGAGGAAGGCCGGCAAGTCTGGCTCTAGAGCCCATTTTCATTGCCGCAAATTTGGGGCAGGACACGCCAAATTAGCTGGAATTCATCCCCCCTCTAGGTTCCAACGTAGCCATGGCCACACCTCCTGCTTGTGTCTCAGGGTCAGAAAGCCACCTCCCCACAGGTATCTAAGAGCACTCTCCCCACAATTACCATCCAGAGCCCCAGCCACGGGCCCGCCAGCCCATCCTGACCCCGCGTAGGTAAAGACGGGCATCATGGCGCTGGGGAGGCCATCTAGGGGCAAGGAACAAGCTCCCACGAGGCGAGGGTGTAGAGGCCACCCCTGCCTCTGAGTTGAGGTCTGACCTGGCATGCCAGGGATTTGGGACCCCATAGTCTGTGCTGAGTCTGCAGGAGGGACATGGGGACCCCAGGGCCTGGCGTTCTCAGGGGCTGGAATCTTGAACCCCCTCGGTTCCCCACCTCCCTGTGACAAGCCTGAGGCCTAGGAAGCTGGAGCACCTCAGACCCCACAGCCAGGTTCTGGGTCTGCGGGGGGACCCGAGCCCTGAGTGTGGAACCCCGTGAGGGCCCAGGCGTGTTCGGGGAACGGGGGCCCGGGGGGGTCCTCTGAGGCCCGCCCAGGCTTGCTACTGGCAGCCACGCACTCTGTCACAGGGAGCCCTCAGGTGGCAGCCTCCCTCTTCCTGGGGACGCTCTTCATCAGCTCTGGCCTCATCCTGTCCGTGGCTGGGTTCTTCTACCTGAAGCGCACCAGTAAACTCCCCAAGGTTTTCTACGGAAGAAACAAAGGTACTCCGGGCCAGAAGGGGGCCGACCAGTGCACACCCCCTGTGGAGCCGCGGGGCTGCCTGGGGGGCACAGAGAAGTGGGGGCTGGGGCTGGGGTGCAAGATGCAGGCTGTCCAGCCATAGAGAGTCCTCACAAAACAACAGGAAGGGGACTGGGTTGCCACGTGGTTCTTGTGTCTGAGAGTAAGAGGGGCAGCCACGTCCTAGGGATGCTCCCATGTGGATTCTGTGGGGCTCAGAGTGAAGGTGTTGGCGTGACTCCATCATGGGGCATCATGGCGGGGTTGCTGATGAGGGGTGGGAGGGGGGTGGGGAGGAGGTGACAGCCCTGGTCTTGGGCCACCTGCCCGCAGCTCCCCCCAGCCAGCGGTGCCTTCTTCCCATCCTGCCCCCCGGGAGTGGGGGTGGGCAGGCTGGTGCGGGGACCGTGGGGCCCCCTGCCGCCCCAGCTCACCCTGGGCCTGGGTGCCGGATCTGCCCCCCTCCGGAAGAGATGGGCGTCACCCTGCTGTGCCCTTGGGTGTGCCGGGCAGGTGGTCCGGCCACCAGGTCGGACCCTTCTGTGGACAGAGCTAGTGGGTGATGAGCCAGAGCCTCCTTGCCTGGCCTCTGTGAGACCCCTGTCCCCCCACCCGGAGCCAGTGCTGGGTGCCTGAGTGGGGCTGCTATAGCTCCCAGGTCCTGACCCAGGCCAGTCAGGGAGGCCCCTTCCGGGTCAGCGCTGGGAGGCTGCTCCTCAGCAGGGGCCACGGGGGTCCTGGTGCATCAGTGCAGTGGCTGGGGCAGACCCACTCAGGGTCTCTCCTCCCGAACACCCCCAGGGCTGGGCTTGGTCAGCTGAGGTGGCCACCGAGAGTGCAGGGGTGCGTAGCAACCTCCCCAGTGGAGGTCTCCCTGAGGCCTGCCCCCAGCCCTGGGCCTCCCCTGGGGCCGAAGGATGCTCTTGCCTGTTTTCCTGGTGGTGCTGGAGGCCAACAGCACTGTCCCTTCTGAGGGCTGGCTTGCCGCTCTGCCAAAGGGCCTAGGAGGGCGGCTCCCCCTGGGGTGCTTGGGGGCCCACCACCCCAAGAGCAGGTGGGAAATGGGGCGGGACAGACAGCTGGGCCACAGGCACTGCTGAGCAGTCGTGTGGAGGTGGGACTGGGCTGAGCCTGGAGCAGGGGAAGAGCCTCTGCAGGCCCGTGGACCCCCTCCCCAGGCGAGGGACCCCTGCCCCAGGTGACACCCATGTTTGTTCGCAGCCCCTGCCCTGCAGCCTGGCGAAGCCGTAAGTAACCTGGAAGGATGGGCCGAGTGCCCCCTGTCGTGGGCCTCTGTGCTGGGGGCCGCCCACTGTTCTCACTGTGCCTTTTCTCCTTTTCAAGGCTGCCATGATTCCCCCGCCACAGTCCTCAGGTATGTCGGCCCTCATTTCAGGGTGAAAATTTCAAAACGATCCTGCCCGTGGGATCGGCCGCTCTCCAGCGACACTGCAGGGCTGGGCTCTGCGGGCCCCTGGCCCTGCAACTCTCAGGACATGGGCCAGGTCCTCCCCCAGTCAACCACGGCTCTCCTGCCTTTTCCCTTTTATTCCTTTCTATTCCTGACATGTTGAATCTGTTGGGAGAGAACGAGAATCCCCAGCACGGGGTCTGGGGCCACCCCTGAAGCTTCACTTGGCCCTCACCAAGTCCCAGCTCTACCTGGGCGGTGGGTGTGGGGAGCAGGCTGGCCCAGGCATAAGGCCTTCCCGTGGTCCCTCCTGAGTAGCTGGCACTGCAGTTTTGCTGGGTCGGGCGTGCCCCACCTCAGATGATTCCAGGAACAGGCGCCCGTATCGGCCCTGTTCCAGATGACACCATGCCCACAGAGAGGTTAAGTGAGCCGTGGTTACACGGCTATAGGCCTTGGAGCGGGAGCCTCCTGGCCTCCCCAGTCTGTGGTGTTGCCACTGTGCAGAGGTCTGGCCTGGGACAGGGGAGGATGTCCCTCTTCTTTGGGGACAGAGAAGTTATTGGCCAAGGCTAGATCTGCTCTGTTCTGTAGAATACCTGTCTCTGATGTCTCTAAAGTGGTACCATCTACAAGCATCTTGAATTTCCCTGCATTAGTCTCCGAGGGCCACCGTAACAAATGACCACAAACTGGGGGCTTGAAACAACAGAAATGTATTCTCTCACAGTCCAGGAGGCCAGAAGTCAGAAGTCAAGGTGGGGGCTGGGGGGCACTCCCTCCAGAGTCTCTAGGGGAGGGTCCTTCCTGCCTCCTCCGGCCTCTGGTGGGCTTGTGACCACACCACCCCAGTCTCTGCCCCCATCTTCACGTGGCTTCTCCCGGGTCTCCTCTCTCTGCCTCCCTCTTGTGAGGACGCTGGTCGTTGGATTTAGGGCCCACCAGATAATCCAGGAGGATCTCATCTCAAGATCCTTAATCACATCTGCAAATACCCTTTTTCCAAGTAAGGTCACATCTGCTGGCTCTGGGGCTTCAGACATGGACTCATTTGGGGGCCACCATCCAGCCCTGCTGTGCATCATGGGACCTGTTGTCTCTGTGTCTCTTGAGAGCAAGGCCCTCACCCAGGCCAAGGTGCTTGGGGTGCAGGGGCACCGAGTGTCTGCAGTGAGTGGAGCATTCATCAGACACTCTCCACGCACAAGCAGGGGCTCAGTGGGATCTCCTCCCCTGGGCTGCTCCACACCCCACTCCCAGGAGCTCTGGGGAGGGCTGGGACCTGGGGCCACCCTGCCTGTCCCCGGCCCCACTCTGACCCTGCCTGTCTCTGACCCTGTTTCAGTGCGGAAGCCGCGCTATGTCAGGCGTGAGCGGCCCTTGGACAGGGACACGGGCCCCACTGCCATCTCCTCGGTGGAGGCCCGGGTCAGCAACGTCTGACCCGGGGACCCACCCACAACTCCGCACACCGCCTTGGAGAGAACCCAGCACACAAAGGACAGGCACTGCCCAGCAAGGCCTCAGGACAGGTCTGGACACGGCCCCTGACTCCGCGTGACTGTCTCCCAACAGGAGGTGCTGCCCGAGGGTGCTTCTTCCCTCCCCACAGGGGCTCAGCGTGATGGACTGGGAGCCGCGTCCTTGAGCCAGGCTTGAGAGTGTAGCCAGGTGGGGTCTGGGCCCCTCGGGAGAGACCGCTCCCAGCGGCCAAGAGCCTACAGGGACCGCTGGGCTGCTCCATGCCCCTCCGCCTTTCCGAGCCCACAGTGGGCAGACCTCCCCCCCCACCAGGCCAGTTGGCCTCCTGGCATCCTCTCCGGGACGGTGTCCAGACAAGGGGAGGCGTGGCATGAGCACTGGCCCCTCCGAGGGTGAGGGGCCCACAGGGCTGTCCTGTAGCCAAGACCCCCCACCCTCACTCCCCCAAGCCCAAGACCACACGTTTCCAGGAGCTGCAGAGGCGAGGTTCCTGGTTTCTTACTGACTTTTGTCAGTTTTAAGCAGAAAAGCTAGAGAGACACTGCTTTTCTCCTCTGTCACCTGCCCCTATCCCGCTCCCTACACTGGGTCCAGGTGCTGCAGGTTCTTGTCCACCCAAGGAACGGACACTGTCCTGAAGCTGTTGGAGATCAGGGCCATGTCCATCCAGGATCACATTCACCTGTGACTCCTGCCTGGCTAGCCTGGTCTCCATGGACTTACGGAGGGCAGTGCAGGCCAGTGGTCCTGTCCCAACTGCCCCAGGCCTGGAGACGCATTGCTGGCCCTGGCTGGTTACAGATAGACAGGGGTTCCTGAGAGAAAGGAGCATTCATGGCCACCTCGCACGCACTGGGCTCGACACTGACCTTCCCAGGTTCTCAGTCGGGACTGGTATCTCTCCTTCAGCGCCTGGTCCACATCCCAGGGGCCCGAGGCAGGGCCTGCGTGCTCAGCTCCTGTGTCCCTTCCGCACCGTGATGCCTGTCCCAAGCATTCACAGTTTGCGGATACTTGAACCCACAACTGGTCCAGCAGCTGAGAGGGGCGCACCAGCTTCAAATCAGTGTCAATAAACTATTCAGGGCTTTCTTCCCCCATCCTCCCTGCTCCAAGGTTTGTCTGTTCCTCGGGAAGGGTGAAGCCCCACCTGCCCTGCTGTGGGGGCAGCCCCGTCAGCCAGGCTGACATGGACTCTTTGACCTCACCAGGAGCAGTGACGTGCCCTCGTGGGTACTGCCTCTCATTCGTCTGTCCCCTCGGTCTGAGGAGAAGGGGACCAAGAGGGAGGTGGGGAGACCAGGATCAGGGTCCCCACCAGCTTCAGGGACCACGGGGAAGGGAGAGGACATTCCACCGCCAATCTGTGCCCATCTGGGAGGCTGGGCTTGGGAACCAGGGGAGAATGTGCAGGACCCTCCAGGTTCCCTTGGTTTCTGTAGCCCCCGAGGTCAGGGGAGCCTCTCCCATCCTGTGGATCCTCGTGGGGAGGGAAGCACACATGGGGGGAGACTCCCTTGCCCCTGTTCCCACCTTTGCACCAAGCCTGGCTGCTAATCTGGGGGCCAAAACAGAAAATGCAGAGCCATGTTTGACCAGGAGAGCGGGTCCAGCCAGTCAGGCATAGATGGGGGCCCCCCACCCCAGGCCTTCTCCATCTCCTCCCACCCTGAGGTACAACCTGGAAACCTGGGGTTATTCCAGCATCTCCCTGTCCCTTCCCCAAACTCCCCCAGCCCCCAGCCTCAGCTTTGCCCCACTCCTGGCAGCAAAGACAACTCTGAATTTGACCCTGCGGCCACCTCTGGCTCCCCCACTCGAGATGTGCTTCCCCTGACCTTCAGGCCTGGGGGTGCCTGGTCTTTGGGGCCCTCAGTCTGCCAGGCGTCCCCCTGCCACTGGGCATCCCCTGGGCCTGGGTGCCACTGTCCTTTAGGCCCCCAGATAGTGGGGAGTGGGTCACGGGACTTCCCAGCCCCGGGACCCTGATGGGCATTCAGGCTAGAAAGCATGTGAGTGGATGCAGTGGGGTAGTGGGGCACCTGAGCCGTTGTGGGACGGCTGGTAGGTCAGGCATCTACAGTGGGGCTCCATCCCGAGCTCCATCCTCAGCCATCCTCTTACCCGGACTCCAGCCCTCACGTAGGAGGCCAAACTGAGACCAATTTATGGGGCCATCGGCTTAGGCCCAAACAGGCAGGTGGGGCACCTGTCCCCTTCTGACCCACCACCATGTCAACTGCTGTGGGGCTCCCCCACACCCTAGGAGGGGGATGGGCAGTTGGCACAGTCCTGGGCTCACAGCCGGCAGCTCATTCATTCGTTCATTCACTCAGCACTAGGAGAAGCACTGAGAACAGAGGTCAGAAGTCAGCAGCATTAGGAGGTGGGTGCACAGAGGAGGGCCGCATGAGGCCTGAGGAGGTGATGTGAGGGCAGATGTCCTGGCCAGGAGCCTGGGCACAAGACCCCCGAAGGAGCTGGCCAGAGCAAGATGGGGAGGGGACACCAGTTGACCTTAGGGGACCTGGCTTTCAGTCCTGGGCATGGGAGGGGCAGGACTGGCTGAGTCCACTGGATGTCCCGGCAGGGCTGCTTCAGGCCTATAGGGCAAGGCTGAGCCTGTCCAGAGCCCGGGGCCCAGTTTCTGCCCATGTGGGATTCACAGCCTGGATGTGTCCCAGTCTCTCCCGTATCATCGTCCCCGGCTGACGGGTGGGACAGCAGAACAGTTGACAGATCACCCAGCACTGGGCAAGCACGGGTGGGGGGCTCAGCCCTCACACCCCCAGGCCACCTGGGCCCCAGATGAGCCCTGAAGGGCCTCTTCATGCAGTGGCCATCCTGTGTGTCCTTGGCAGCACTCGGGGTTTGAAACTCATTCTGCCCAGTCCTGGGGTGGGGGGACCATAGCCAGAGTGGGCCTTGGGGAGACAGTCCTCTCACCCGGCCAAGGATGACTTCTGTGTCCAGCCCAGAACCCCTAGGTGTCTTGGGGACTCAGGACCCCCACATCTCAGAGCCACGAATGGACAGGGGTGGGGTGCTCACTGGGAACCTGTGTTCTCCGCAGCCGATCCCAGGGCTGTGGGGTCACACACTGAGAGCCATGCTCCCCTCACACGTGGGTATGCACCTGCGCCTGAGTGGACACATTCATGCTCAAACACAGGTTAACCTGCTGGTGTGTGACACCCCCTTACACGGGTCCATGTGCGGCCCCCGCATCTACACAGCACGGCTGCCCACCCGCCAGGAGGGAGGATGAGCCGGTGTGTGGGGGCAGGTGGGTCGCCGGGTCCGGAGCCGCCAAGGTCCCAGTGCCGGGGGCTGGGTGCTGCTCCTGTGCAGGAGGCCTGGCCGCCACCCCAGACGGCACATTCCTCAGGTCTTCCCTGTGCCTCTGGGCACTGACTTGTCCACTGAGGAGCTCAAGTGACCTCAGAACTCGGATAGTCCCAGGAGCCCTCGGGAGGATGTTCTCGGAGCAGAGGCACAGACAACACTTCCTGGAGGCAGCATGTGACCCCGAGTCACGATCGCCGTGGGAACCAGAGCACTGTCATGCACAAGCTGGGCCTGGCCCACAAGGCAGCTCCCCACACTGAGCCCCCAGCCCCCTTTCTGGGTCCCCACCGCCTCTCTGAGCAGCCCCTCCCCTGGCCGCGAGCTGGATTCTCTGGTAGGCTTCCCACTGTCAGAACAGCGGCGACAGGGCTGCGAGGACACAAAGCCCCACTACTGGCTAGACCTCAGCCCCCACACCCTCCGCCCACACCCCCTGCCTTGGCCCCAGGCCTTTGCATAGGCTGCTCCTGGGGTCTGCAAGGGTCCCACACTGACTGGCGGGAGCCATTACCCCTTTGCCCAGGAAGATTTCTGGACCCCCTGGCTGTGTCGGGGGCTTCCTTGGGCTTCAGTGCCCCTACCCCATGTGTGTAACCGAGGGTGCCCCCAGCAGACACTCACCCAAAGTCCTGTGGCTGGTCTGATCCCTGACTCACCCTCACCCCGACTCCACCCCTTGGGGGTGCCCAGCCCTCTCACCCGACTCCCTAGACCCAGAGCAGGAAGTTCCCTCGTGTGGTGGACATTGGGGTGGCACACACATGTAAGTGGGCTGTGTGGATGAGGTGGGGGTATCAAGCTAGGCTGAGATTGGGGGTGCTCCTCGGAGGGGCCCTTCTGGGAGGCCCACCTGCGCACTCAGGTGCCACCGGGGCCTTAAATAGGGTTAGTGAGCGGATCTATTTCTGGAACGGCTGCCCCAGCATCCCAGGGGCTCCCAGGGGGAGGTTTTACCCAGGACTCCAGCACCCCAGACCTGCCCAGGCTGTGGAAACCCACACTGACCCCCCAGCCTCACCCCAGGCTCTGATCTCTCACCTCTGACTTCCTGCCCTCCGCTGCCCAGCCTGCCAGGGTGAGGACGGGAGGCCAGCCAATCCTGGAGGCCGCAGGCCACACCCCTGGCCTATATGACCTCAAGTGTATAAATACACCTGCCCGAAGCTGACACCCAGAGACCTCACACCTGCTTCGGACAGTGCTCTCATCTGGAAGAGCGCACCCATCCCCCTGAGCCCCGCTTGCCTGGGACAGAGCAGAGGGCACGCCTGCCAGAGCAGTGCCCCCAGGAAGGACAGCTGCTGGTAGCCAGCCCCGTGGAGGGACACCTGCCAGGTGGAGCACAGGTGGGCCCAGCCCAGAGAAGAGGGAGCGAACACAGCTGGACAGGAGAGCTCGGAGCCTCACAGCCTGGTGGTGGCCACCCAAGAGGACCATGCTCAGGCCTTGCTGACGACCCCCGGCTACCAGGTAAGGCCAAGCTCAGGCACTCCCCTCTCACTCGTACAGGCTCAGGGTGGGGTGCCTCTGAGGAGGGCTGGGACCTCAGTGCCAAGGGACTGATGGTGTGGGGCACACGGGCCTGGAGGAGGCTAGCCGGGAGCCCCCCCCAGACTATGCTGAGGCTGCTGCCTAGCCTGCGGCCACCATTGTCCCCAAATGTGGTGACACCTCATGTTGCAATGCTGGGAGCACTCGTGACATCACAGTGATGTCACTGTGACTCACGGTGGTCAGAGTCATCATGCAGCAACACCCAAACCTTTACGACACCTCACCACAAACCCATTGCACTCACCCACCGGGACTAACCAGGACGATAGGGTCAGGGTCACCTCTGGGGGGTCCTTCTGGGCTCCATGGGGTCTGTCCACTGTCCTCCTTACCTGTCCTCCCCCAGGCGAGACCCATGTGGCTGGGCAAGGGACAGGGCCGGACAGGGCCCTGGTCAGCAGGCAGGTCCCCTGAGCCTTGCCAGGGAGACAGAGGCAGGGTCTCCTGTGGAAATGGGAGTGGGTCAGGAGGACGGCAGCTGTGTGCCTGTGTGACCCTGCAGGGTGGTGGGTCGTCCCAGAGGATGGCTGGGGCTCCTCAGGCTGAGGTGCACTTCTAGGTCCTGAGGGCCAGCAGAAAGCCCGCATCACCAGCCAGACAAGCTGGCCCTGCCGGTTCGGGCGAGGCTGGGAAACAAAGCCTCCTTGGGACACCGGCCCCCACCCCTGTTCAGGCCCTCCTCGACTTCCCGCAGCCTGCCAGCTCACCCTGGTCCCCAGACGGAGTCCCCTGACCCTCACCCAGCCAGGCCTGGCACCCCACCCTCATGCAGCTGCCTGAAAACTGGGAGTGTACCAACCAAATCAGGTGTCCACGCTGGGATCCATGTCCAAACCCACTTCACCCAACCCAGAGTCACACTCCTCCATTGAGAGCCCAGGTCCTGCCGATGTCTTGGCCAGGTGACCCTGGCTGGTCACCCCGCCCTCTGAGCTGCCATTTTTGTGCTGTGGCTCTTTTGTGTCCCGTGACCTGGGCCCAGCCTGGCAGAGCCCGGACGTCAATAGCAACTGCTGTGGGCTGTTGCCATTGACTTTATTTATGCCCAGGTGGCACTGCCAGGTAGGACAGGCCCAGCAGGAGGTGTCCACTGAACGGTCAGCACGACACCCTGGTGCACATGGCCTCCATTCTTAGACCCTCCTTAGAGCGCCCCTGGGATGCTCACCCCTGTTTTGGCATGTGAGGAGGTGGGGGGGCAGGCTTACAACTTGAACAGAAAGACCTTGACTCTGGTATAGATGGGACTTTCCTGAGGTGCCCACAGGTGAGCAGTGTCCTTCCAGAGATCTTTGGGGCTGGGGCTGCGCAAAAGAGACACAGGGTGAGAGCAGCAGGCTGTGCAGAAAAGGGGCAGCCTGCGGTCACTCACAGGGCTCTCCATTTGTCCCACAGCTCGGAGTCATGTCATCAGGCCAACAGGTGTGGCATACAGCCACGCCGGCTCCTGGTCGGCCCAGCCCTACAGCCACGGTGCCCAGGTCCCCCAGCACCCCTGGCTCAGAGAAGGTGGCCTCCCCACTGGAGTGCTCCATCTGCTTCTCCGGCTACGACAACATCTTCAAGACGCCCAAGGAGCTCTCCTGCACACACGTCTTCTGCCTGGAGTGCCTGGCACGGCTGGCGGCCGCCCAGCCAACAGGCCGGCCCGGCAGCGAGGCTGTGCCCTGCCCGTTCTGCCGGCAGCCCACGGCTGTGCCGGCTGCCGGGGCCCCCGCCCTGCGCACCAGCCGCCAGCTGCAGGCCAGGATGCCGGCCCACCTGCGTCGGGAGGAGCCCGTGTGGCTGGAGGGCACTAAGCTCTGCTGCCACCTGCCGCCCTCCACACCCGGCCTTCCAGCACCTGGCTTCGTGTGTGTGGATGTGGGCCTGAGCAAGCCTGCGGAGCCCACTGCACCCACACCCAGCCCGCGCCCTGCCCGCCGCCAGGGCCGTCTGGCCCGCTGCTGGGCGCGCTACGGGGCGCGCTGCGGGGACTGGAGGCGCGCGGTGCTGGTCACGGCCCTGCTGCTGGTGCTCTTCTGTGTGGTGCTCTGGCCCGTGCAGTGCGCGCTCAAGACTGGGGACCTGCACTGCGTCCCCCGGCCCTCCGCCACCATCACCACCACCGCTGCCTTCTCTCCTGGGCCCCTGGCCGACCGCTAGGCTCAGCCACCCCTGCCCCAGCGCCAGGTGTGGGTCCCTGGCCCACAGTTGGGGTCACAGGCGTGGCAACCCCGGAGGGGCCCCAACATCTCTGAGGACCCCATATACCCATTCAGCTCACCTTCCTCCTACTCTGGGGGGCTGGATCCTGATGGCACGGACAAAAGGGTCCCTGAAGCTTCCAAGAATCACAGGCTCCTATGGGTCCCAGAGACCACCTCCCTAACCCCCCATCACGGAGAGACAGCCTTGATGAGGCCCCCTCTCTATTCACTGTGAATTACCTGCATTAGCAGCCCTTTGCTGAGAAGGGATGGCACTCACCATCTTAATTTTATTTTCACATTTCACCCATGGCTCCTTCCCCAGGCAGGGCTGGCCCCTTCCATTGGGTTGGGGTGCTAATGCTGCCCTCTGACTAGGGGGACAAAGGGCAGCAGCAGGAGGCCCAGTCCTCCAGTGCCCATCCTGAGCTGCACATTTTTAAATAAATTATTTTGTATCCACATTTGGTAAGGGGTCCTCACCCTGTGTGCCCTCCTCCCCATGCCACTGAGCCTCTCCCTCCCGAAAAGCCATGGTCTGCCCCTGTCTCAGTCCCACTGGATTGAAATCCCAGCAGCCCCTAGGGCAGATAGCCCCCAGGTTCTAGGGTGTCCAACTCCTGTTCCCTGTGGGCTGTGGATAGGCTGGAGCAGTCCTGCCCCCCTCCCCCAGGAAGATGGGGAGGGCAGCTGGAGCAGGGTGGGGTGGGCAGGAAGGGGTGGGGCCTTGGCACGGTCCAGACCCCTCCTCCAACACGCCCCAGTTGGACCCCCCAAGAAGTCATGACTCCACAGCCCTGCTGAGAGTCCTGACAAGAGGGCCACAGAATCCCAGGACTGACTCTCTGTGAACCAAAGCCTAAGGACGCACAGAAGCAGAAATGGTGACAGCCAGTGTGTCCTGAAGATCCTGAGGACCTCTCGCAGATCCTCCCGGGGCCAAGTGCAGCAGCTCGAGGGATGGGCAGGAGTCCTGCCAACCCCCACTGGCTTCTGCTGTCGGTCCCAGGAATCCTGCACCACCGGTTAGCATGGTGAAGAGAGGCCAGGCTGGTTCTGGTTCCCCAGACTCCTCACCCCTCACCCCGAGGTGGGTGGGATGGCTGGGGCTCTGGCTGGGCTGGGCTGGGGAGAGTGCTCAGGGAGACCCTTGGGAAGACACAGAACTGAAAACGAGTCATTTTATTGAAGGTCCCACAAAGCCACAGGGCCATCCGCGATGGGAGGGGCACAGACTACATGCCAGTGACGGAACACCCATCACACGCCAGTCATGCACACACGTGAGCCTCACCCAGGCACACGGGGTCGCACACGTGCTCGCAGGAGCATCTCACATGCACCTGCGCTGTGGGCAGCTCCGAAGCAGGGGTGGGTGCTTAGGATGGGGGTGGGGCAGGCAAACACTGATGGTGGCTACAGTCAGGTCAAGCACAGACTGGCCACTCATGACACACGTGGTCACTGTGTCGTGCAGGCCATGACTGGTGGCCTCCCATACCGAGAGACAAACCCCAGCCCTGAAGCCCTGCCTTCCCGCTCCTCCCTCACCTGGGAGCCCCAGAAGGGGCAGGGGCACTAGGGTCTCCCGACTGCCCCTCCCCATTTCTAGGCGTCCAGGCCAGGTCAGGAGGGACCCCTCCCCCGGCACTCAGGGACAAGCTCCAGCCTGTAGGTCCTAAACACAGTCCTGAGGAACGCCACGGCCCGCCTTGCGGGCTCCCAGCCTCCAGGGCGGCTCCGGCCCCACCCGGGGCGCGCGCACGCGGAGCCCCCTCACCGCGCGAGGCCCCGCAGGTTCTCGTACTCGCCGCCGGGGGCCTCCGGGGTCCTGCGGGCGGAGACAGGGTTCGGCGGGGGCCCGCGCGGGATCCCGCCCCGTACGCTGCCCGCTCCCGACGGGGACCCCGGCCCGGCCCCACTCCCCGACGACCCTACTCACGCCGCCGGCGCCCGAGACGACAGGGGTCCAGCGTGGCGGCCGGGGTCCGCCGACCCGATGCCCACGTCCAGATAGTCGCGCTCCTCCCGCGGCTCGCGCTGGGAGGAGGGCCTGTCGGTCACCATGCGGCGTCCGCGCGAGCCCCCGCCGCAGCCCGGCCCCGCCCCCACCTGCTCGCGCAGACGCAGCTGCTCGCCCTGGATGTACCGCTGCAGCGCCAGGTACACGAACTTGTACTGCGCCTCGGTCTGCACCATCCCCGAGCGCTGCCGCCGCACCAGCTGGATCGTCTTGGGAACGTCGATGTCGCAGTCCAGACCTGGGCACGAGCCCGCTCAGGACCGGGCGGGGGCCGGGGGCCGGGGGCCGGGGGGCGGGGCTAGGCAGGAGGGGCGGGGCACGAGCGCGCTCAGGACCGGCCGGGGGCCGGGGGCCGGGGCCGGGGCGGGGCTAGACAGGAGGGGCGGGGCACGAGCGCGCTCAGGACCGGGCGGGGGCCGGGGGCCGGGGCGGGGCTAGAAAGGAGGGGCGGGGCACGAGCGCGCTCAGGACCGGCCGGGGGCCGGGGGCCGGGGCGGGGCTAGACAGGAGGGGCGGGGCACGAGCGCGCTCAGGACCGGGCGGGGGCCGGGGGCCGGGGCGGGGCTAGACAGGAGGGGCGGGGCACGAGCGCGCTCAGGACCGGGCGGGGGCCGGGGCCGGGGCGGGGCTAGACAGGAGGGGCGGGGCACGAGCGCGCTCAGGACCGGGCGGGGGCCGGGGCCGGGGCGCGGCTAGGCAGGAGGGGCGGGGCACGAGCGCGCTCAGGACCGGGCGGGCGCCGGGGGCCGGGGCGGGGCTAGGCAGGAGGGGCGGGGCACGAGCGCGCTCAGGACCGGGCGGGGGCCGGGGGCCGGGGGCCGGGGGCCGGGGACCGGGGGCCGGGGGCCGGGGGCCGGGGGCCGGGGGCCGGGGGCCGGGGGCCGGGGGCCGGGGGCCGGGGCGGCTCACCCTGCCGGCGGATGAGGTCCACCAGGATGTCAATCACGATGATCGTGCCTGTGCGTCCGATGCCGGCGCTGTGGGGACCGACCAGGAGGCCTGTGGCGAGGTTAGGCGAGGAGGCCGTGGCCCTGCCCGGGGTTGCACCTGCACTGCCCGCCCACCCCGTCCCCGATCGCACCTGCAGTGCACCACCATGGGTCCGGCCCCCGGCGTGCTGCTCTGGGCCCTGTTCACCTCGTCCAGGAAGCCGAGGACGCCGGAGGGCTCGGCCGGGACCCCGTGGTCTGGCCAGCTGAAGTACTGGTAGTGCTTCACCGTGCGCGGTGGCTCCTCCTGGGCAGGGCGGGCTGGTGAGCGTGAGCCGGGCCAGTCTGGGCAGTTCCCAGGTGGGACCAGGCCGCAGGGTCACAGTGGAGCTGCTGTGAGCCCCAGGGTAAGAGGGGCACGGGGCATGAACCGGGAGGAGGCAGGCAGAGTTTGCCAGAAGTTGTGACCAGCAGGGTCAAGGCCGAGAAGGGGATGGGAGGGAAATACGGGATTCAGAGCTTGGGGGCTCTCAGATAGCCCCTCGCGGCTCAGACCCCTGGGGAAAGGAAGAGGGAGCAATGGGGCGAGGGAGCAGGTTTCAGGGACTATGACCTCTATTTGGGAAGATTCAAGTGTGAGGGCCCTACAGGGCCCCCAGGTGGTGAGACATAAGAGACAGGGTGGGGGTGGGGGGCACGGGAAGGAATCTGTTCCTGCCACAGAAATATGTACCACTGGCCTACGAAGGACCTTGAATCTGCTGAGGTGGCCCAAGGAGAGACTAGGGAAGAAGAGGCCATGTGGGTGTGAGGCCACCCTGGAGCCAGGCAACTGGGACCTGGGGCCTGGGGTTGAGAATGTGACCTGCCTGTGAGCACTGCCCAGCAGAGCCCAGGCCGGGACTGTGCCCACTGGGGTAAGGGACGTGAATACCACCGAGGCCAATGGGATTCGGTGGAGCCACAAGGTGGGGGGCAGCACAGGACTTCCTCACCCCCAGCATAGACCTGGGGACTTCCTGACTACTGTGACTCTGGCCCTGCATGTCTTGTGGCCCTCTGGGCTCACCTGATCTGGCCGCCACACCTGCAGTTCCCGCACACAGTAGCCCTGGGCCTGGTACTCAGCCAAGTTGCAAATATGTACACGGCCATATTCTTGGCTGCCATGCAGCTCTGGCCAGTACCGGAAACATTTGTTCTGGGAGGGAGGGTGCATTGCATCAGCTGTGCTGGAAGACCACGGCACACTTGCCTCTGTGCCCCGTGGGGACTCACACACGCACATGCATACACAGGGGCTTTCCAGAGCCCCCCCCCCACGCCACACACACACACACACACACACACACTTCCCCCCCTAGCATCCCGAAGGCTGAAGAAAAAGCAAGGCTGGGCCAGCCACCAGCACAAATCCACATGCGCACATGGGGAGGGGGCTGTTGAGCCCAAGCTCCTACCCGGCCTCGCTCCACCTCTCTCGTGGCCATGACAATGACCCGTGTGTTCTCCTGGAGGACCATCGCCCAGAAGGCAGCTACTGTGGTTTGCAGACAGCCCTGGGTGGCGATGTACGCCTTGCCATGACCTGGCTTCTCCTCTGGATCACTCTGTAAGGGGGTGGGGGCCGGGGGTCCATTGTTCCCAGGATTTAAAATGCCAGAGGACAGTGCCAGTCTATGCAGATGACGTACAACGTAGCACCAGGTGGCTCACACACAGCCCCTCCTGCCCTAGGCTAGGGAGGAGCTTAGGACCAATATTTAGTGCAGCCCACTCTGAGGACTCCTTGGAAACCGCCACAGCCCCTCTCCCCCAACAATGTCTACTGTCCTGCCAGGGCCCATGGATCTTCCTGGGCCTGCCAGCAGGAGCTCCAGGCTCTAACAGGGGGATAGGGGGACTGGTGTGTGGCCAGGCTCAAGGTGTCCTGTCTGATCCATGCTAGGCTACACAAGCAGCTGGCCACACATGCCTGTCCCTTGCACACCCACCCTGATATAGTTGGCGTTGATGTAGTTGGCGCCAGGGACGCTGTCGTCCACATCATGCAGAGTGACACGAGTGGTATCAACTGGGGAGGAAAGATGCTGCTCAGGTCTCCAGGGGAGAGGGAGGAAGAAATGGACCTCACCCGCCTCCTTGCCCGCGGCCCCCATGGTGAGCAAGATGAGGCAGGAAGGGGCCGTGAATGCGCAAAAGGGAAAGTCACCCGGTGGTGGGACACCACGCCCTGCCTCAACCTCCACAGGCCCCTCCTTGCCAGATGGGCCCACATGTAGCGGATGGAGCCCTGGCCCCCAACACGGCCCCCCCCGCCTGACCCTCACAGGGAAGGATGTTCTTGTAGCGATTCTTGGGCTTGTTCTCCAACCGCTGCCCCTCCTTCCGTGGATACAGGAGCCGACATTCCTGCTGCTGCAGCATCTGGTTGGGGGTGGGGAGCTTCAGCCTGTTGTCCCACACTTTTCCAGAGCCTTCAGTGACCATCCTACCTGCC